ATTTACCAGATATAGGGTAGTCTGGTATATAAAAGAGGGTGACAACGTGACAGAATAATGTGTGTGTAGACAATGAGTAATTGATCTGCAGTCAGAGAGTATTATTGAGCACGTTCGTTGTTATAGCGTTTGTTTTAGCACGATTGTTGAAATTAAGTGTATTGTAAAGTTATATTCAGAAAGAATAAACCAGTTTTATTAAGTAAGGACTTGTGTCGCTAAAGTTTCGTCGGAACGAAGTTATGGAAAGTTAATTAACAAACAGAGACGTAACAATATTTAACAGTATAAGTTATGTACATTTCTCAATATAAATGTAATTTAAACAAACATCGATATTAAAATAAATGTATAATAATAAATCCGTGACAATACAGAATACACTTTCCCCAAAAACCATTTGAGGCATCACTCCTCGCATCAACCATACCAACTTATTCTCTAGAGCTGCCATTGCCTAGTAGTTGGCTACTGTAGATGCCTTCAGATCATCCTAGGTTTTACTAAGGGTCTCTTGGTGCCAGCAAGCCTAACCTGCAGGCACTGCACCTCCTCCTCATACTGCCTTGGAAGGCTTACCCTTCACCTCAGCCAATCTTTCTCTTTGTTTTACAGATTCAGTGTCTCTGTCCATTTGATGACCATTTTCTGGCAATGCATTTTCAGCATTGCAATATACTCGAGTATTGAGTGGTATGTTATTACATTTGATGATTTTTCTGGGAGTTTTCCATTCATCATCATCTACTGGGATAGGTACCAGTGTTTTTCTTTGGTGGCTTTTTGCTCATGACGACTGCATAGGTCTTACTGGTGACCAGTTGTAAATGTTCTGGTCCCTGTTGACAGATGGAATTGGTCCATGAGTTGGCTGGCTCATCTGGGCGACTTGTCATAGTCTTCCAGTATTTAGTTGTCTTAGACTATGCCACATCTCTACCTTCTTGGGACTTGGGCACCCTTTGGGAAAGCCTCTTTTAAGCTTTGATTCCTTCAGATGTGTATGCACATATGATACCATCTTCAGGTGGTTATGGCACATTCCCCAAAGAGAGAGATCACTGGCCTCTATGGATACTTAAGCTTCATCTCCTTTAGTGGTTTCAGAAGTAGTAAAAATGAAAGATGCTGGCAGCTTGAAGGATATATTTCTCCAAAGTTGTGGCTGTTGTTGGAGCTGTTAAGTCCTTTGGTATATGGACACTGCTCCCCTAAGCACTGGTGGGATTCTCTGCCATTGATGGTGGTAAAATAACCCCTAGAGATTGCAGGGCCAACCCTACCTTGGAAGCTGCAAGCTCTCTCATGTCAGATGCATCTGCTAGCAACAAATCTTCATCCATTGGCTCGGGCACTTTGTAAGTTAAACCAGACCTGGATATTCCATCTTAGGCAGTCTCATGGGCTCTCTTGCTCAAGAATAAGTCTTGTGCATCCTGCAGGAACTCAGTGACTTCAAAGCTAGAAAACTGTGAACTGTTCATCTCTGTAATCATATGGCTCTCATAATAAGGCGAGACAGAAAATTCACTTGCTAATCAATGAAAGAGAGACTGTTGGAAAAGTTCTGATTGGTGAAAGGCTCAGCCATATGTATAAGTTCAAAAAGGATCATAAGACTTTGTTATGTCCAGGAACTATGTAATGATCAATTGACATGTCTACAGAACTCACGCCCATTCTCACCTGTAGAACATGGTGAGAAAACTCACTAGAAAACTCGAGATCTTTCAATCTCTGGTTTCTCTGGGTTTTCATTTGGCCAGTAACCTTTGGCATTGCTGTCTCTCTGGTGCTAATCATATGGTTGGTATGTAGACAAAGCACAGATCCAGTTGGAAGGAATGGCGGGTCGAGATTTGTTGGATCCTACACAGTCAATCTGACTTG